GACTCGGGAACTCAACTCCTACCCCGGGCAGCTCACCTCTCCCCTTATGCCCAGGGGAGAGGTTTCAAGCCGTTTGACAGCTGATACTGGCTGTCAAACCGGCTTTTACGCAAAACAGGCGGGAGGCAGCAATCAGCTGCGACCAGCGAAGGCGCCTGCCACCGGAAGCCTCCGAGTCATTTGGACTTTCTGAAGGGACGTCCTGCCCCTTGAAATGGCCTCTTAGATTGGTTCTGCTGCCTGGGACGAAAGCCCGGTCTATCGTACGGACGGTCATATGGCCTGTCCTGCCGGGGTGTGTATGAGCGGGAGGGCTGGGTGGCTGCTGACCCTGCTGCGGTCCAAAAGGACTGCTTGCGGAAATATGGGGTGGTACGTTTATCGGACCGTTTATTAAGGTGGGTCATGACCTTGCGCTTATTCTTGTTCAGTGGATTCAGTATGGATTCAGTGCCTCCCCAAAAAGATTGTTGCCCAGATAAGGAGCAGTTGCAAGATGCCATTTGGCTTTGGCGTCTGCCTGCCAGTGTTTTAGCCATAACATCCTTCTGGCTGTGATGTTGGAGGCTAGGGACCTGGAAGCGAAGTTGGCCGACTGAAGTGTCGCATCCGCGGCATACTCAGTTGCAGCCACCATTTTACTTAGGTCCTGGTGAGTCCGAATGTCCTCAGAAGGAACTCTGGCCTGTAGTTGACGCAGCCATAAGAGGGTAGTCCTGACAAAAAAGGACGCACAGGTGGCCGCTTTAATTGCCTATGCCGCTGATTGATGGGTCTTACGGAACGTTTGTTCCCATTTCCTGTCGTCCGCTTTAAGCGCCTCAGACAAATCCCCAGCGACCACAGTCTGGGATACCAGCGGGGTCCAGGAAAGGAGGAAGGGGAGACCCATTGCTTTTTGATCCCCTTGAGAAATATAGAAGGACAGGGAACGTGGTGCTGGGCTGCCACTGTTTCAAAGAATATCGGATTTGGACTGGAATCCGATGTGGCCTGCGGTTGAGGAAACTGATCCGACCCAATGTTTGCTGTTGTAGTGGCCTTGCGAAGCAAGGGAAGAAACAGGGTTGGATTGAAGAGACCTCCAGATGGGGAGGGTTCAGGGGGGAGTTCCTGCTCCTCTGAAAGATTGAAGTCTGGCTGCTCCTCACTCTGCGGAGATGAATATCCGCTCATTGAGGAGTGTGCTGGTGATGTGGGCTCCTGAAACATAGGGATCCCTGTAGGAGGGACATAAGGTGGTGTAGTTGATGTGGAAACCTCCTGTCCAGGTGGAAGGAAAGACCGTTCTGCTAGAGTGCGGTCCACCACCTTGGATAACAGGGCCTCAAGTCGGCCATCGGAGAAACTGTCTCCACGGTCAGGACCCCTGAGCCCTGCTGCAGTTGGAGTAAAGGTAGCCTCAGGGGCAGAACCCGAGTGAAGTGAGGGATTAGTTACTGTATGCTGAACTGGTGCAGAAAGTGAGGTGGGGGGCTTCTGCCAGGGACCACACACCCTGAGCTGAGGTTGAAGGACCTAGAGGAAGGTCAAACTCAGGGGCCAATTGATCCATCCCTAATCCTGCTTGCCTCTGCGCTCTGGAGAACTCCTTCTCCAGAGCCTGGTGCCTACAGCTGGCATGCTTTTCTGCCAACTTGGAGGTTTTCTTGAGAGTGGCCTTAGCCTTGGTTGTGAGCTTGCCTGCTCCCTCCAGTTTGGAGGTGGTCTGCCGGCCGTAACTAGAGGATGGGGAGGCTGTGGTCATGGGTTGAGTCCTCCATCCTAGGTTGAGCTGTCTCAGGGAAATTGAGGCAAAGCTCTGGCAGGCAAGCAGTTGGTGGAAGCGAAATTGGAGCAAGTAACGAAGACTGTTCCCCTGACCACCTGACCAAAAAAAGGCAACTCTATCTGGGGTTGGTCACGGCAATTGAGGCTGATGCCGAAGGCACGGTTGGGGACCCGCTGTGGGTTCCGCCCGGAGGCCTTAGGTGGCCAGTCAAGGTGCACCAGAGGGCCCAATGAAGGGCGCAGAGGGCCTAAGTAAAGGCCTGGCAAGGAAAAGGATGAGGATCAACAGGAACTTGAGAAATTTAGCGTGGACTAAATAAGAGCAAATATTACAAAAAAGCCCTTCAAAATCTGCTCAGGCCCTTGTGACTACAAGGCCCAGGCTTGATGAGGCCTAAGAAGCAACCACGTGGCATTCAAAATGGCGGCCGTCCGAATTAGATTGAAAATTAAAATCTCAAGGACTATGGGTCCTAAGCAGGGACCTAAGTCCCCAAACGAAGAGGTGATTGAACCAAGGGATTAAAATAAATATCCTAGGGCAGAAAGGATGAGGATAAATGCCAGGGAACCGTTTGACTCTTCGTTGCCCTAGCGGCAACAAAATGGCGGCCGCTATTCGCTCTGCCGATGAAACGGCTGCAATCACTAGGGGAAGGTTCTCCAACGCTGGAAGCAATCGAGCCCCTAAAACGCGGAGAAACAAAAGGAAAAAAAATCCCCTTTGAATCTTCGTTGTCTTCGGCAGCAACCAAAATGGCGGCCGCAACCTTCGGGTCTGTCAGAACGGCCCTCGGGGCTTTGGAGGCAAGTCCCTAACCTTACAGGCAACTGGCACAGCGAGGGAAGCTGTCGAGCGAAACGTCTCCGATCGCTCTGAAAAGAAACCTCCGTTTCTTTAAGTGCCGTTCGTTGCCTTTTTCAGCAACCAAAATGGCACCCGCGATCGTGTCGCTATGAAAAACGGCTCCGGAGGGCTCAGAAGGTGATTCTGATGAAAACGGGAGCGCTTGCCAAACGAGGGGAGAGGTTGGTGAGGAACATCTCCCCAGAGCCCTGGGGAAGAGAAACGGGGAAGCTGTATCTGCCCCCCCACCCCTCTGGCCTCAAATCAGCAGATTTGAGGTAGTGCTGATCCCAGCACTGCAGAGGGATAGTTGGGAAACAACCCAAAATTTTTCAGTAAGGGAAAAATTCCTAGATAACTACTAACCTGACTGTGAGGGTATGAAGCAAGGAGAATTCACCAATGGTTTTTCTAGCCTGCTAGATGCCTAATACCAGAGAGCCAAACCTGACACGTCTTCAAGAGCTTGAGACCAAGTCAAGACTGGATCTCCTAGCAAGAGAAGGCGTGTCAAGTTTGGCTACTTGGTCTCAAGAGCAGGCAGACAGAGAAAACCCATTGGTGGATTCTCCATCTCCTGTACTGGAGAATCTATTTTTCTAAGTCATAAAAAGGGGCCCAGAACTCAATTGCATCTGCAATTAGTTGATTAATAATAACTGACACACCTTGCATAAATTATCTCCTAATTTTAATGTACATGTGATATATGATTTAGAATGTAGCAGGAAATATGTAGGAGGCGGTTGGAAAGAGTAAGTTACTATTATTATCTGATGAAAGCAAATTCAAGTTTGCATCTCTCAATTCTATTCAGTTAAAAATATTAACATAATGGAAAGCAGAAAATAGTCATTTGACACTTCAGCCAATGGGGAAAGAGGAGGGATATAGCAGTTGGGATAGGGTTGTATAAAGAAGGGAATATTTTGGGTTGAAACTTTGGAGAGAACCAAGCTTTGATAGCTTCTCTCCCCGCTTATTGTAATAAACAAAACAAAAGGCCTTCACTGTGTCTTGGCTGGTTATTGGTCAGGCGAGCTTGCTTCTGGTCATGAAAGAAAGTAGCCAGGAGCACACAACATGCTGAATTTGGGGTTGCCAATTAATATTGAGCTAATGATTCCTTTAGATACAATTAACAATTTTTAAAGAAAATTTTATCCATGTTATGCTTCTTATAAACACATTACCATTAATGCATCACAAGATTATCAAATTTGGATTTTATTATGTAGAAAAATGAAACTTGTAGGTTAGTAATTCTTAATTTTTTTTCTTTTTAGCAGAATTCTAAATCATCATATGTAAGCCCACAATCAGAAACATGATGCCAGTGGCTCATGCAAGTCATTCAGAGGACATTCATAGGACCCCAAATTTCAAGATTACAAATTCTTAGCAAAGCATGGTGTGCTCACTCAAATGTTTACAAGATTTCCTGCAAGGAGGCCAGTATCTTATAGACCAGTATCTTGGTAATCTTCTGAGATTTGGGCTGTTAAAATAATTGGTACTACAGAAACTATCTATAATAATGTGCATAAGATCTCAAGATTTAAAAAAATTAAATGGCCAATATTTGTTGCTGAAAATTCAAGTGATATTTTACAATGTGATTAAAAAGAACCAATTTAACAGAGAAAATGTTGGGTTATGGTTTATAAACTTTTATATTCACAAATCTTTATGACTAAAGAAAATTTACAAATATATGTCCATTTGTAAGTTACTATTATTATCTGATGAAAGCAAATTCAAGTTTGCATCTCTCAATTCTATTCAGTTACAAATATTAACATAATGGAAAGCAGAAAATAGTCATTTGACACTTCTTCAACAAAGATTTGTAAGCTCTACAGTTCTTGCAATTAGCAGACTACTCCATATTTTTAGAACAAGAAAATGATGTAAAATAATTAGAATTATGGTATCAAAAAAGTCCAGTTAATTGAGCAATTTTTTCTTCTCTGGATGATATGTAGCTGTTCACTGTCCTGGCCAGATTTTCATGGTATTTCTCCAAGCCAACCCTCAAGCTGAGGTAGATCTCCTTAAAGAGGCAGAAGAAAAGATCAGCAGACATTATTTTTTTATAAGAGACATTAGATCTCTATATACATTTCCCTAAGTGATGTATTTTTCATTTTTAAGAAAGAAAAGACATTTGCTAATCCTATCAAATCTCTTTTATTTTTTTAAAAAACATTTGGGATGAAATGTTCTTATCCTTACAACTTCTCAAGAGCCAAGCTGTTTAATTTCTTTAGGCTTAAGAGTTCAACCTTATCAAGGACAACCATACCCAGGGTACATTTTGGCTAGGGGCTACCAAAGAGTTTTAAGTGGCAAAATGGGTTTGTTAAGCAATTCCAAGTCATACTGCACATATTTGCTCCCTTCAAACTTTCCCAGCTACATAAAAAAATGCAAAAAGAACTGTGCCAAGTATTTGACTCCTATCTATTTTATCTGTGCCTCCAGGGCAAAGAAATGGAATGCTGGTGCCACATGAAGTCTTGTGCAACACTTTTTAAAATCTTTGTTCTAGAGCCATTTAAGGGCTGGCTTTACATGGATTGTGAAACCTTAAAAACACTAGCCATTCGGGTATTATGCTATGCTAAGCACTCAGCAAATGAATTCCCGGATAAGGCTGGCCAATGTTACTAAGATGATACCTGCCCCCTGGAAGGATTGGCATGCTCAGTTTCGATGTCTGCAGAGTGAAGCCAATGAATATACAGCCCTATGCATAAACGCTTTCCTCCCTGCAGATGACATTAGCAGGCTAGATGATATCATGCCTGAAGGAGCTTTAACAAAAGCTACATCAGCATGAGCGTCTGCTGCACTCACTCACCTTCTCTTTCACTTTCTCTTTCCCAACATTGTCACTGAGCTGTTGAATGACACCTTTGAGTTGCATGATTTCTGTGTCTGTTGCTGTCAGTTTTTCACAGACAGCTCCTCTCTTCTCTTGAAATTTATTGCAATATCTAGAAAATAATATTTTTACTATTTAAAGGCACCACCCGCAAATTAAAATTTAATTAATCTTTTCATGCAGAAAAAAGTGGGTCATAAACATTAAAAAACTGGGATCCTATAGTTTATTATTTAATGGTTGAAGGCATTCCTAGTAAGTTCCATTTCTTCTATGAAATTTGGGATAGGGAAACATCAACCAGCCCTAATTCTCAAAAGCAGACAGGACTGGAAAATGGTCCAAGTTTCTTCCACTTCACTCTGTATAGTAGGGTGAGTGGAAGAAAAAAAGATTTCTGCACAACAAATCCATATCTTACTATCAACTCCTTGAAGTATCAATGGCAATAAAGGATAGCTTTTTAGTCTCTTAGGAATGTTATCTGAATACAGTACTATCTTCTGTTGTAAATATTGTCATGTGCATTAATGACAAAACTATTTAGGATCAAGCATAATTTTCCATTTGCTTGCATTCCTTTGGGATCCAAATCCTAATTTTGAGGTTTTTGATAATGAGAAAAATTACAGTGGAATTGGGAATGATTTGGAAATGACAAATAGATTTTACTAAAGTCGTTGCCATTATTAGTTACTTTTACCAGGGAGCTAAAGGATAGAAAAGTAGCATGAAGTTCAACTATATGGAAAGGTGTATCTTCAAGAATATGCCTATTTTCCAGAAAGCAGTATATTTTAGTATGTTTTTTTCAGATTGCTAATTTTGAATCGCATCCAAGATGCTAGCAAAATAAGCAGAATTAAAGAACAATCTAACAATATTCATACTCAGTTATTGCCTGTTTCTGCAGTTCAGTATTCTCACATATCTTTTTAAGTTTGATTTCAACAGCAGCATGTTTTTCACGTTTAACTGTGACTAATCTCTTCAATGACATTTCCTCCGTCTTAGCATTCTTGAATCCACTTGTGCTATTCTCAATCTGATCCTCTAACGTTCTGATCTGAAAAACAAGTGTTTTAGAATGCAAGTAGCAGACACATCACTAATTAGCAAAAATACTTCAAATGCTAAACAAGAGCTAAACAAATGCAACATCTGAGCAAGCCACATTTAGTAAACCAGTTTATTTTGCAAGAAAAGCTTTTGAAAGAGGTGTAATATTTACATAATATTCTTGCAAAGAGAAAAAAATAAACTAAACAGAGATATACGCTATTGTTTTCCCAAGGTTTCAAAGACTGATTTTCAAATGTTTTTTTAGAGTTTTTCTATTATGGATTCTTAAAGAAATGTGCTATTCTGCTCATACCAGATTGGCTTGACATTAAATGAGCTATTTATGCAATATGAAAATTCATGGCAACGTGGAAAACTTGCTAGGAGTTTGTTTGCATGAGTTGCTGCTAGTAAAACTGGGGGTCTTAGGCAAAATCTGTCAGAAACCCCTTCAATGGTTCTTTTTGGGGCTCTGCCATTCTAGTGGGAGGGGGGAGGTTTTCCTCTGCTGGGAGGGGGGCTTGTGGCTGTACTTCCTCTACTTTGTTCTTCAACTTTGATGTGTATCTTTGGGTGTGAAAAGGGGAATGGAATGTGCCAGGGTCCATATGCCTTATCTCCAGCCCGTTGCGAAATCTGGTGAAGTGCCTGGGAACCACCCCTTATCAGCTGTGGTTCCCATAACAACTTTGCACCTGTGGCTTGGCTGGACGCAAACTGGGCAGTTGGGCTCTGGGGTAGGGTTTTGTGAAACAAAAGTTTTAATGTAGCAATTAACACAGGAAAACTTTAGATCTTTCTTTGCTCTCTTGCTATCACTATCTCTCAATAAAAGTTCCTTTTGAAACAATGCGTTTCAAGAGTTCCGCTTTCTTGGGAGTAGTCGAGGCAGAACCTTACAAAATCTTACTCTGCCTCAATGTATCTTAAATATGATTTTGCCTTCCAATCCATTTCCCACAGGAATATAATTTTCCCTGTTCAAATTTAATATAAATTAAGAAAAATGGGGCTAGGTAATGGGTTTCCATTACTTTTTTCTAATTTGAAGAGGAACTTGGCAAACTTCAGTAAAGAATATGTGTACCTGTGTGTATGTATGAAGCAAAAATGTTTCTTTTATGAACTCTCTGCTAATGCTGTGCTGAATCCATGATTTATTTCAGACTACATTCTACTAAGAATAAGTACCTCAAAATATTTTATCAACAAGTTCAATAGATGATATTATATTTGAATAGCACAAACCTGGGCCAATATATTTGATAGCTTATCCATATTTGCTCCTTGTGTTTGCATTTTCTTTCGGTACAATTGGACCTCCAGTTGACATGATGGAAACATCTCTACCAAGTCTCTATAAGCTTCATACTTCTCAATTACTTCTTGCTTTATAATAAAAAAATCAGAACCGAGGAGATTGGTGTGGGTGGAGCTGCAACGTTTATAATATACCTATAGCCACATGCAACTGTCTAATCAGTCTTGTGTTCTAAATCCGAAGTACTACTGCTGTCAGCGATTCCTTTCTTTCAATCTTTTATTTTATAATTTAAAGTTTTCTACTGTGTTACAGATTATCTTATATTTGATATAATGAATTTTCAGATACCAAACGTTTCACATCTCAATCATTGATATTTTATAATCCTTTTTTTCAATTTGGTTAGGATAAAAATGCTCCGGGGGAAAAATTCAAAACAATTTTCCTGTGTTTTTCTCTATAGATTCATTAACATTTCTGTGCTGCACAAGATACACCTCTGCCTCCAGGGCAGGCCATTATTTTACTCCATGATATAACAACTTTCTTCTCAGTTAGTACCTCACTTTTTCCTAGAGATACCTATTAGTGGCATCCCACCTTCTAGATCTATCCATGACTTTTACAACTACAACTCTGATTGGATTATTGATTTCTGTATTTTCCATTTTAACTGGAATTGGCTGCACACTGCCTTTAAGGCAAGATTTCACCTATTCTGTATTTCTCTCAGACCTGGTGTGCAAACTGTTCAGTCTGAGCATTATATCTGCCTTAGTTGTTTGACTTATAAATTTTGTTATTAAATTAGCTGCAAATTTGCTGATTAACAATGGGCAAACTAGTTGGCACTATATTAGGCTCTACTCATCTGGGTGAAACTAACAATTGATGAAGGTAAGGAGTTAAGTATATTTCTGAGCTAAAAGAAATATCTGTGTATCTATATAGTGTATCTATTTACTCTTTTTATATAAGAATGATAAACTTTTATTATGCTCCACAAATACTAGAGATTAAAAACAAAAAAAACTCAACCATTCACTGGAAAGAAGAAAAAAATTACACTTGCCCTCAATTTTTAAAATTTGGTGAAACAATGGTGTGGCACTCTGGTGCTTAACCTCAAAAAAAGAGGAAAGAGCTTAGGAGTCAGGACATAGGAGATCTTGGAAATAGAGAGCAGACTGCCACCAGCCTCTGGAGAACAGACTACTTCCAGCCTGTGGCATTACTGCTGCAAACCTGTCTTCACAATAGTTCCTTTGATGGGGTTATCTGAGCTGGAAATAAATTGATTCAATTAATGAAGAGCTAAATACTTTGGAACCATGGTTAGGGAACAATACTAATCCTGAAGTACAGCTGAGTGACTGGGAGGACATGAATTTAAATATTTCTGTAGACATAGAAAAGGTAGAACAAAGTTGAGGCAGTTGTCAAATTTTGCAGTTCTGATACAATTTTTTACTGGCTTTCATTATTACAACACATATGTAAGATACAGTTAATTGCATTAATTTTGAAAAATGTATATTCTTATGAATTTAACTTAATTTTAGGAAACCATAGAAGCTGAAGCTATGGGAGGCAAATCTGACAAATATTGATTTTATCAATTTTAATTGCTATGATAAGGCAATTAAAATGCCTTTAATATTAAGATTCACCTTGTCTTTTTTAATCTTCTGCTGTGTCTGTTTCATCCGTTCCCTGCAATTAGTGAGTTTCTCTGGAGACTCTGTAATCCTGGACTTCAATTGCTCTTGTTCTTGTTTTAGATAACAGATTGCCAGTTTCAGATCGTTCTGTTTATTGAGAATACATTTTTTTAATCCTAATGCTTTCAGTAGTTTAGAATCATTTGATTATCAAATAAATCTTAAGCAGCTAAATTTTCAGTGTTAGTGTATACATTTGGAGAGAAGGAATAAGAGTCCAACAGTCATTTCTTTTAACATGAATAAATTGCAGGACTGGTAATTTTCTTATAAGCAATACACAAAAAAACATACATAAAATAGATAGCGAGGCATTCTTAAATATAAAGTTCTCTATTTGACCAGATTTAAGATTGCATTTTCATTGCATTGCATTGTTTTATACTTAGATATTTTGTCAATAAATATTTTCTCTCCAGATTTAGAGGCTGGAAAATGTTGTTGCCAAAATCAGTTACTTATTTATCCTTGTACTCTGCATCACTGACGTTTCCTGTATCTTTTTGTTAATGGACTTGGAGATTGCAGCACACATTTCCAAATGCATAAAACTTCTACTGAGATTGGCCTCCAAGCTTACATGTATGTATGAGCTATGTTTGTGCCTTGTGCAATGTTTATTGAACATAAGTGTTTATAGAGAGGTTGAATGCCCATGTATTACAGATTCTACTAGTGAATTTGAACAAAGAATTGGATTAGGCAACCTGTAAGGACAGTTGCAATATTCTATGATGATGCTGTCAATAGTACATTTTGTCTGTAATGGTTTGACGTGTTTGCCATAGGTTTTATTTCTTCAAGGGTTACAAGAAGATTTGTTGTTTGCTGAAAGAATATGAATTTGATTCTGCTCATGATTACTCTTTTTCTGATATGTATACTAAAGAGTAACTATGATAAATTTAATTTACATTTAGGAAGAATGTGGTTCCTATGGTCAGTTACTCAGTCTGAAAGAACATAAATAGCTTTTTTTGGCAGTCACCCAGCATCAGGCTGCTGAAAAGGAAAAGAAAGCAACCCATTTCTTTCAATACAGAGGTAGATATTTGAAAAAACATGATTCCTCTCCATCATTAGATGGCATCAAAGAGACAGGATATTTTGTTATGTCTTTGCTGGGGATCTCTGAGAATTTTGCAGTTTTAAAATTCTGCTGTTGCAATATCTGGCACTTCCAAAACTGTTCTGGAAAACATGGAACAGACAGTAATGGATACTGCTCTATTTCAAAACCAGTAAGTTCAGAAAAAATCTAAAGTGGGAGTATTTGCAACAGTAGTCTCCTGGGAAATTGTTACCATCGAGGTCAGGACAAATATGTTGACCCTGTCCCTCCCTGTCATACGTAGATAATAAGTGAGGCTATGCATACTTATCTAGGAATAAGACCCACTAAAGTTACTTCAGAGTAAGGCCATGTATATTAATTCTGTCAATATTAAATGTTTTTGTCCTTGCCTTGCACTTCTTTGTTCATACACATGGGGTGTGTGTGTGTGAAATACAATTTGGTTACTTCAACTCACAAGACAGGGAAACCAGGTAACACTCAGAATAAACTTGCTTCTCATTCATCTTCATGATGGGGAAGGAAATATCATTTTACATTCAGAGCTGACTTCATTTCTGATAAATACCATACTGGGGTTTTTTTGTTGAAAATTTTAGGCCAAGTCTGGATGATACTGGTGGGCTTCATGTATTACTGCCATTTTTAATGCAATGTAGCTTGTGCTGAAAGAGTACTGTTTCCATACCTGGTGTGGAATTATAGACCATGCTGTTCATAATTCACATCAATACTATAATATAGTATGCAGTATATAACATCCCTCATCACAAAGAGAAAAAAATGCCTACATTAGAACAAATCAAGTCTATCAGTGATGTAAATGAAGATGACAGATTTTACCTTTTTTATGAGCATTGTATTGCTGGTCTTTTTCTTGTGTTTGGTCTAGGAGCATTTAATAGATTAAAAATAGATTTAAATTGATTGATGGCAGATAAAATAGAACAAAAAAGGATAGATGGAAAGGAAATTTGTCTACCTCTGCCCATGCAGTATTTCTGAACTGTGCGTTATGCAGAGGGAGAAGTTATTTGTCAAAAGATTAAAACACCCCCGCACACTTATTAAAAAGATGTGCAGTAATTTCAATTCAAAGGAGGTACTTAGGATCACACAGGGATGTACATGTTAGTACATGTCAGCAAATTGTTAAACCAAATGCATATTTTCCCAAGAACGCAAAGCAACTGCATGATCTTGATAAAAGACTTGACTGTTTCAAAAAGTTGCAAACTGGTATTACATGCACACCCCTACATGCTTTCAACTATCTTTTTGCCTTTGAATCCAAAGTGCTGATTTCTGATGTATGAATCAAAGAGCTGATGTGGTTCCAATCTTCAAAAAGCAAAAACAAAAAGTGTTTTGCTTGATGCACAATGCAAATCCATTGTGCCTTGAAGCTTATCTGGACCATTCTATAGAGGACACAGTCTCACTCAAGCAAAATGGGTGGAAATAGGTTTCAATCAAGAAAAATAAAAGGTGGCTTAAGGGATAAATAGGGCAATGCTGGTATAACATATGTTTTTCCCCTCCTTCTCCCATCTCTACATAGCTAGCTTACCTTCCCTCCCACCCTAAAATACCTCTGTTACAACAGACTCTGGGCCTGGGACCAGACAAAAATTCATTTTTTTGGATTTCTTCAATGGCAAAACATACCTTGATCTGGGTATGGGATACCTGATTTATACAAAAAGGCTTGCACATCCCTAATGGAAAAAAAAATCTAACCTCAAAATAAACATGAAGTGATATAAAATTTGACAGACTTGAGCACTGCACCCTAGCTAACAAAATGCAGTTCAGTGGTGGGAAAAGTAAGGTCCTGCAACGAGGCAGGAAAAAATCAAATGCACGGGTATAGAATAGGTTGTACCTGGCTCAACAATAGTAACTATGAGAGGTATCTAAGTGTCCTAGTGGATCATCACTTAAGTATCAGCCAGCAGCAATAAAAAAAGCCAATATAGTCCTGGGCTGCAACAACAGAGCAGTATCATCAAGTTCACAAAAAGTGACAGTACTGCTTTGTACTGCATTAGTAAGGCCATGCTTGGAATATTGCATCTAGTTCTGGTCACCACAAAACAAAAAAGATGCTGAGACTTAGAAAGAGTGCAGAGAACAGCAACACAAATGTTAAAGGGTTTGGAGGCTAAACTGTATGATGAATGGTTAAGGGAACTAGGTATGACTAGCCCAGTGGTGGCAAACCTATGGCACACATGCCAGAGGCGGCACTCAGAGCCCCCCGGGGATGCCCCAGAGATGACAAGGGACTGGCCCCCGCTGCCCTGGCCCTGGCCACGCTCACCCAGTCTGCCGTGACCACTGCAGCCATGCTCACCCAGTGGGCCACGCCCCCTGCCCCCCCAAGGGCACCACAATGTTGATGCAGCCCTGGCACTTTGTGATAAATAAGTGGGTTTTGGGTTGCAGTTTGGGCACTTGGTCTCTAAAAGGTTCGTCATCACTGGTCTAGCCTATTGAAGAAAAGGACCATAGTGTCAGAACCCATATTTTAAAGGGCCTTTTCCTTCCTTTCCTTTTTTTTCTAAATCCGAATTGCACTCTCTTCTCTCCCTGGGTTCTGCCATACTCCTGGAGGGGAGGGGGGAAGCGCTTGAGGATTATTGCCTTGTTTTTCCTCTATTGCTACAATGTAACACTGCTGTTTCTGCATTTCTTCCTCTGTGAACTTTCTCTCCCGTTGTCAGCTAGTAAAGGGGTGAGGAGAATGGAATGTACTTCCGGCAACTGCTTTATCTCCGTGTTCGCAAGGGAAGGTGCGAAGAGCCGCCTAAACATCGCTGCAGCCCGGAGACAGCCTGATGTTATCTCCTTTTTTCTACAACAAACTTAACATCTTGGGATTGACCTGTTTGAACTGACTGAATGAACTATGGGGTGGGGTTATGCTTGGGATACTTTTTACCTATCGATCTGGTGGGAAACCTTCAGATCCTGTCTATTATGCCTACTATCAGCTTCTCCTAATAAAAGCTCCTTTTGGAAGAAACCTCTTCCACAAGTTCTGCTTTCTTAGGATGAGATATTGAAGTGGGCCCTGACACATAGCTGTCTTCCAGTGCTTGAGGGGCTGTCACAGAAAAGAGGGCTTGGTTTATTTTCCAAAGCACCTGAAGACAGGACAAGGAGTAATGGATAGATCATTAAAGAGAGATCCAAACTGGAATTAAGAAGAAATTTCTTGACATTGTGAACAATTAAGCAATGGAACAGTTTGCTTCCCAGAATTGTGGGTGAACCATCACTGGAGGTTTTCAAGAAAAGATTGGACAACCATTTACCTGGGATGATATAAGGTCTCCTGCCATGGGCAGGGGGTTGAACTAGAAGACCTCCAAGGTCCCTTCCAGCCCTTTGATTCTATGATTTTAAAATATAACATCTCTGAAATATTTTTCAAAGATACTCACTGTCAACGCTGCTAACATCAGATGGTCTTGCTTTGTCAACATATGGAGATGCAGCCATTTTCCTTCTCATGTTTTACTCTTAGAATTAGATGATACTGGGGGGGAGGAGGAGGAATGTGCATGGGAGTTTAGTTAGACATAACAATACTGTAACTAGGATGAGAACCAAGGCTTTTTGAAATAAGAGATAATAAGAAATGGCGGGTTGAAGAACTGGAGGAAAAGCCGGCATTTCAAACTAATTGGAGAATGTGATTTATGACTGTTAATTAGAGGAGGGAATTGTGCTTTGATATTATGTGCTCGGGGGGGGGGGGAATTCAGATTTTGACTTTGCCTATGTACGTACCGATGCTATGCTACTCGAATAAAGATTCTTTAAGGTAAAACAATGCCTCGAAGTTGTTTGAAGAGTTTCATCTGTCGGAACCATGACATTAAGCCAAAATCTCCAACTTCCCTAACTATCTAGGGGTCCCGAGGCCCAGTTGCTGTCCTTAGAATTGAGGGACAAGTTGACAAAGATTCAGGGAAGAGTTCAGCATGGAGAAGGGGAGTTGTCT